CTTGCCAAGAAATGTTACTGGATGATGGGTTACAGGGGGAATTCTTTCTGTTATTGGTGTCTTTTTTTTTGTTTTGTTTTGTTTTTCTCCGGTACCGGGAATCGAACTCACAACCTTGCGCTTGCCAGGCAGGCGCTGTGCCGCTGAGCTAAATCCCCAGCCCCTGTTATTGGTGTCTTGAACAAAGAATTGGACAAGCAAACACGGAAAAGGTAGCAGGGATGTACTTTTATTAGAGGTGAATAAGAAGTATCCGCTGCAGGGTGAGAGTGGGCTGGTGAACAGATTTGTAGTGGCCCTGATAATAAAAGCAAAGGGGTGTTTTTATCTGTATTTCTTGGACTGGCTTCTCCTTCATGCAAGTAATGCACTGGGACGGTGATCCTATCAAAAACTCACTTGGCCTGGTGCCATATTTAAACTGCCCTAGGGAAAGGTTCGCTTAGCTTATCACCCGATGTAAGCGAAGAGTGGGAAATGACACTTTTCTGATTAGTTCCACATACAGTGTTCTGTGCACGTCCTCTGGGTCTCCATGACTTTGGCAGAGTCTTCCTGGTTGTTTGGCTGGCTTGTCCCAGCCCTAACCTCCTATCTCCCCTTCATTGTAGAATCCTTGCAGCAACCTGTGCAGCCAGTAGGCAGCTTCTAAATGGTACTAAACTCTGCTGCCCATCCTAGAATACAGGTGATTAATGCAGAAGAAACCAAAGAAAACCAAAACAAATGAGTACTGTAAACCAACAAAACAACCTGAACAATTTTTTCCTACTTCTGAACCTCTTTCACCAGTCAGTACCCCAAAATGACTTCTAGGAGGCCCAAGGGACCCCAAATGATGAAGATGCTTACTTCACCCAACTGGCACTGCCAGTGACCTAAGAGAAGGTTCAAATGTTGCAGACAGTAGATCCCTAGAGTGCACTCCTCAGGGGAAAACCACTGAAGCGATCCCAAACAACCTTTTTCCTTTTACCAATGGAAGTGTTTATAGCCAGCTGATGTCGTGAATAAGAAAAGAGGGAGATCTCTCAGGTACACGTCTCCCTGGCAGGGACTGGAATATTCCTGGAGTCCTGTCCATAGGTTCAGCGAGCGATGAGTAGCCAGTCTCTTTTCCCAGGTGCCCTATGCCATGTGTGTTAGAAGCCACTTAGTTTCACAAACTCCTGTTCATTTTCTAGCTGCTGATAAAAGCAAAGAAGTCCCTTTTTTGTGAAAAGCAAAACGGATTTATTCAAAGCTAGCTTTGAGGAGATGGATGGGCCCATTCACCTCAAATCACAATTTCACCATGAACAGTCCTGTAAGGGTCTTTTTTAGTAAGGAACAGAGGGAAGGGGAAGCACAGAGAGAAAACGGAGGTCTCTACCCTTGCATTATTACTTCCACTCACCTTAATCTCATCCCTCCCTTTCTTGTGGAAAGGAAACCGGGCTCCTGTTTCCTGGTGCCAGCATCTACATATTTTATCTGTTCATCTGGGCTAGGGAGAGGTAGGAAGAGCTGTTTATGGCCCATCCCTGAGAACGTCTGGAGAAGTCACTTACCATTGAAGAAAGAAAATTCTAACTTTTAAAGTTCTATTTTGAGGTACCAGTTACACTGGGACAATTTTTTTGTTTGTTTCACAAATAAATAGTTCTGTCCTATTCTATGAAATAAATGTATTTTCTTTATGTTCCCCAAACCAACTGAAAATGGACTTGCAGAATTGTTATGGCTTAAAAAATTGCATTTTACCTCCTGAAGGCTTGACAATCAAAGGCTAATTGAAGTTGACTGCTGATAAGTGGAGAGATTAAAAAATTAAACATGGAAAACTAAATGTGTTTCCTAGGCAGGGAATTTTGAAGTGGGCAGTGTGTTTCTCATCAAAGGCTCTGAGTCTGACATTAGCACGACTAAATATAGAACAAAAATAGAGTTGAAGATCTAGCTCAGTGTTAACAGTGGTTGCCTAACATACCTGAAGCTTGGGTTTTAAACTCCAGTACCTCAACTAAAACAAAAAAAAGGAGAGAGAAATTACAAAAGGTATCTTGGGTAATTGGATTATAATTTTGTTTATAATGTCCTACATTTGCAGCATAATTAGAATATGTATAATGACCTTGTACTATATAATTATAAAAAGTATCACATTTTAATATGTTCCTCATATACTTTAAAAGCATGAATACAAAAATAAATCAACCACAGATCCAAAAATATTGCAGTTCTACAAAATTGGCATAAATAATTGAAATATTTTAATAACTAAATTAATAAATGAATTGCTATTAAACATATACTCTATTAAGCAGTGTGTGAGAAACTGAGCAGTAGAGTAACTAAGACAAAATCATTATTGTAGAAGAGCTTGAACTTGCATAGAAATGATAATGCATGATTTATTTAATAATTATATTATAAATTAATAAAAATCGATGAATTAACATGATATTTAGAAATATAAAAACAGTACTGATTAAAATGTAGGCATACATTAATTACTTAATATAGGTCAATTTTAGGAATGTTTTATTTTGGAAATGTATACTCATTGTGAAATCAAGTAAGGTCATTCAGACCATTTTTATAAAATGGGATATCAGATTGAGGTAAAGACCATCTATTCCAATTTTCTGTAGGGTAAACTGAAGGAGTAAAAAAGGATTGAAACATACACTAGATACTGTGAAATGGGAATAAATTGTTCAAAAGGAAACAGTAGCTCCTCTTTCCTTTTGAGGGGTAAGGGGGAAAGGAAGGAAGGGAAAAGGAAAAAAGATTAAGGATAAGATGGAAACAAAGTTTTGTAAATAGAGAAGGGAAGAAGGGTTGAAGGGAAGAGAGGGGATTGGGAAAAAAAGAGGAACCAAATACATCATGTACTTGTACAAAATCCCTATGATGAAAATGATCATTATATATATCTAAAATGTACCAATAAACTTAATTTTAAAAATGGGATAATTTCTTCCAGTGTTTATGCCTATGTTGCCAAAACTTAAGATACATGAGTCTCTTGGAAAGCTGTCCAAACAGTAATTTCTGATTGAGATGTTAGTACCAGTGGACTGGCAGTGGGAAGGATGCCCATGTCAGAATTTAACATTTTTCCTAGGTGATTATGATACAAGTAAGGGGGTCTGTGATCCCTTCAACACTATTATGTAAAAGGTTTTAAAAAGTTTTTTGGATTTTTAGAGACTTTGCTATGCTCCTTTGGAAATTAAATATAATATTTTCCACATAATTAGTTGCTTTCAACCTCCAAGTTAAAGAGTCTATTAGGAACAATACTGTGCAGCGTTTGTAATTCAATTAGGTTAGTCAAAATAATATTTTAATATCCACTGTGTCAGACACCATACTAGAAATTGAGCTCCTGGATGATTAAGATAAAATCACCCTCTAGGGAAAGGCACATATTTCCATAGAAGTCATAATTTCAAATATTTAATGTAGTTTCTAAGAGCTTACAAAGTAGTATTGTGTTTCAGGTATAGATGGAGAAGGCTTCAGCTTTAATAAAAATGTGTTCTTGCAATATAACTTCCATGCCTGGGTAAATCTGTAAAACTGGATGGGCAGTCCCTCTGCTATGTATTGTATGAATATGTCCCCCCAAACCCTCATATGATCATAAGTGGGGCTTTTTGGAGGTGGCTGAATCTAAGGTGTCTGAATATGGACTGAGGGGTGTTAACTAAAACAATCCGCTGATTGGTTTAGTATAATTCCCTGTGTGGATAATGGGAATGCCCACCCTGGGTGTGGGTGACACCTTCCAATAAGCTTGCAGCCTGAATAGAATAAAATCAAAAGGAAGGCTCACTGCTTCACTGCCTTCTGCTTGCCACACCATGAACAGTTTCTCTTCTGCCATTATACTTTGCCATGCTACCCTGCCTTGGAGCCAGCCAACTATGGACTGAAACTTCTACAAACTGTGAGCTAAAATAAACCTTTCTTCCTTTAACTTGTGGGTGTTGGGTATTTTTTCCCAACAACAAAGGAGTAACTAAAACACCTGGCAAAAGTCTCTGACAAAAACTACACAAAGGATTTAAACATGCAAAAATAAAGCCTTCAGTTTATTTATGCTATGGAGTTTTGCTGTAATACAATTCTGGCCACAGTTTGGTGAAACAACCTGATGCATCTCCTGAGCTAGGCCCCAGGGCGTTCATGTCTGAGTTCTTTGAAGAAGAGGAGCATAAAAATAAAACCAGAAAGCAGTATTTTGTTAAACACCTATGTAAGCCCAAGAATCATGAGACTTGCACTCAACTGAATAAATATAAATCTGAAATTGTATATAAATCTGAAATATAAATCTGAAAAGCATTCTTCATTGTTCTACAGAGGTCACAGGGGAGATGTGGCTCTCTAGGAACTCCAGAGAAATCATGGGGTTCAGGTATCTTGACGACTCTAATTATGTTACCAGTAAGAATAGAAACAGAACTCAGCAGAAGAGAATGTATGTCTAACTAACACATTAATAATTAGAAGAGCAGGAGAATCGTAAGTAATAGAGGGGGAATGACAGGGGGGAACCCACCTATTTTTGTTGTATGGACTTGTGAGCAGGAGCGGGAGCATATTACAAACTGAGCTTCCTCTAGTTCTCTGCAAGTATGTGGGTCCCATTAAACGGTGAGGAGTTGGACAGGAACAAGACCAATACAATTCTACACCTGGTCGATTCCACTCAGCAGCCCTGTAAGATAAGCACTGCTCCCTATATCACCAAAAAGAAACAGACCTTTTAAAGGAATGTATTTGTAATAATGAGAGTGTTTACTCTTAAGTTTGTTGAGCCTGTAATTACTATGCTAGAAACACTCGTTGAAAAATTATTTTCACACTTCACATAAGAAATAGAAAACAAAAAATCACATATCATCTTACCAGACAGACGTATGCCCAAATTAACACTCTGGTGTATTTCTTTTTTGGGTTTATATCTTGTATTTATATATACATAATTGTAAAGGAGACAAGACATGTATACATAGCTTATTAAGTGCTTTATTAACTTCACATTTTTCCATGCAAATATATAAAATTCTACTGGTGACAGAAATTTAGATGCTGGCAACACAAGACCCACCTGACACATGGAAATAACAAAAGGTTCACAGCAAATGGATCAATAAAGGCATATTAGGAAAATGCAATGAAAACAGTGGGAATCACAGTATCAATCTCATGGAACGTGGTAGAAGTCAAGGCATAAGGCAAAATTCATCATGGTGGTCATGGTGATTGGAGAGCTCCCCCATAAGAATACGCAGACAATTCCTCAACTGTAGCTCCCTAAGTTTTCTCCTGATTTCTCTCATCTCCTCCATGAACATTTCCATATCATCTCCATCTCCACCCATCCCATCATTGATCTGCCTATTGGGTATGGCCCTTCGAAAATTGGGGGCAAGTCGGCGAGCCTGTCGTCTGTTATTTCCTGCAGGCTGGCGGCCTTCACCTCCTCCCAAAGGGTGGTCTTCCTCTCTATTCTGCATTGGCTGCTCCATTTCTTCGTTTTCCTGGTGGATATTGGCCATGATGAGATTTTTTTTTCTGGTTGTTTTTCTTTGAACACAAGTAAGACAAGGGCAAGGAGAGAGACTGAATGCTTGGTGCACTGACCAGCAGGTTTCAGAGCCCTGATACTTATCAAAAAGCTTTTTTTTTTCCTTTTAAATGTCATTTTCCCCCATCTTAGAAACTCCACACACACTCTAGTGGCCCTCCAATTTGAGCCCCTCCTTCCAATTCTCTCCTCTTCCTTCCCCCAAAGCCCACCATTTTTCCTTTTCCAGAGCTCTGCAGGCACCAAAATGGAGGACGGAAATGGGGTGGGAAGAGGCAAGGAAGGAGGGGAGGGAGAGGTGGGGTAGGGTCTCGAACTGGGCTTTCCACACGCGTCCCCTTCCACCCGCACAGACCTGGGCCTATCCTTGTCTCTCCTCCTCTTCCCTTTCCCGATTCTTGCTGCCACGAGCGCCGCCTGGCCCAGGGCCCCACAGATCTGCAGAGGTGGGAAGAGCCCAGCAGCACCAGCCCAGCGCTCAGCACTGCCTCGACCCCCTCCCGCGCCCTGACCCCTTCCTCCCTTCCTCTCCCCGCCCAAACCCCACGAGCCCAGGATCTCCACCCGTCTCCCGCTGGGCCGCCCCCTCCCACTCTCCCCGCCCCCCGCAGCTTTTAGGAGCAGGGTAATCTCCCTTCCCTCTTAGTTGCTCTGCCGCCCCTCCCCCTGGTACCCGAGCTGCCCCTGCATCCTCAAGACCGGGAGATCACTATCAGTGTGTCCAAGAATGCCGGGGCTTGGAGAAAGCTTCGGGCCCAGCCTCTCGATTCTCCTGCACCCACCGCCAGCTGGGCAAGGTGCTGCTGCTGCCTCGCCGCCTGGCGCGGGCCCTGGGGCCCTTACCTGCTCTGCTTTCCCCCTGCCAATGCTACCCTGCTGTGTGCAGGGCAGCGGGGAGCTGGTAGCCAGAGGAGAGTGAGGGCTGCACCGAAGGCTGCGTAGGTCTGCGGCTCGGGTCACGTGAGGAGTGCACGTCACTGGCGAGCTGCTCCCCTACTTCTGGCAGCCCTTGCTGCAAGAGCGCCCCACCCCCAGGCTTACGCGCTTGCTGTCCCCTTGCCGCCTGTTTGTAAGCTGTGCTCCTTTGCGCGCCGCCAGTTACTCCTCTTGATTCTTTCCAATGCGAGGGTTCACAAATGGAATCACCATCTTGAGGTTGTACTTGCTCCTTTTCTGATTGCTAGGTAGGGCATATATCACCCACCACTGCCCCTCCCACCTAGCGTAACTCAGAAATTATGAAGTTTTCACTCTAAAAAATACTTCATCCTGCAGCATAAAAAGGCTTGTTGTTTATGCTGATTTGTACCACACCGAAAATATTTTCTTTAGGTTCCACGTAATATAAACAACATCACTTTCAAACCATCCTATACTAGCCTATTTCAAAAGTTTGTTGTAAAAAGGAGGTATTGTTCCGGAATATAGTTAGCATTTTAAAAATAAAGAAAATCTGGGAGAAGTCCAGTTTTCACATCTTGGCCATTTTATGTAATTTTTTGGACTTTTTATTTTCCTATGTGATGTTATACGCTCTTTTGAAAGATTTTAAAAATTTTATTTTAGGAGCTGGGGATTTAGCTCAGCCGCAAAGCGCCTGCCTGGCAAGCGCAAAGTCGTGAGTTCGGTTCCCGGTACCGGAGTAAAAAAAAAAAAAAATTATTTTAGTTTATTAGTACATGTGTGTAGCACATAATGTTTACATTGTTTCTGGGAAGTTGGTCCATGTACATAATACAACCTAATTCCTTGTTTTTTAAAATCCCCTTTGCCTTCCCTCCCTTATTTGATTCCACAGTTACCAGAGAAACATTTTTATTCCCTGCTTTCCTTTCCAAAGCCAGGGCAGCATGGCAGAGGGGCGTGGTGGAGGAGAAACAGTCCGTGTCAGGGCCGGCAGAAAGCAGCAAAGCAGCAAGCCTTCCATTCTTTTTTTATTCCATTCAGGCTGCAAGCCTGTTGGCTTCTGCCACTTACACCCAGGGTGGACCTTCCCATTATCCATACCCAGGGCTATGCTAAACTGATCAGCGGGCTAATCCAGTATCACACACCTATTATCCAGTCATTCCCCAAAGCCCCACCAATGAGTGTATGAGGCTTCAGGGGACATCTAGACATAAGCCATAACATTATGATTAGCTGAGACTCAGCTATTTGTTACAAAAGTACTTTTTTAAATTAGACCTTCATTTGTCCAATTAAGTTAGATTGCAGTTTGTTATTTAAGCAGTCAAATAGAGCATCTTTAGGCCAAATTTAATTTAAAATCATACAGACTATTTTATTAATGATGATGGCTGGAAGGAAGCAGTTTACAAGGATGAGCTGTGGTATCAGACAAGTCTAGCCGCAAATCCACTCTGTGGCTTACCTGATACCTAACTTCAAGTGGTCACTTACCAAGGTCTCTGTGCTGCTTCTGTGAAACAGGGATTATTAGAAAACTATAACTGTACCTATCATGGTTCTATAAAGCCTTATACATAGTCAATGAAAGTCGACTCACTGGGGCTGGGGATTTAGCTCAGCGGCAAAAGCGCCTGCCTGGCAAACGCAAGGTCGTGAGTTCGGTTCCCGGTACCAGACAAAAACCAAAAAAAAAAAAAAAAAAAATTAAAGAAAGTCGACTCATTTACATCAGCGAATGGTTTCTAAGAGGATTTGACGTGTAGCTGAGTGTAATTCTTTCTTTATCCAAATCTACAGGACTTGTACAATCCACAAAAGCCAGAACAACACATCTGTTTTGTTCTACTTTGCATACTTTGTGTGTTATAGAGTTCTTTGTATCAAGCTGATGATTAGTAAACATTTGTTCAATGAAGGCACCCAGTACTGAAGCTAATTAGATACATTTCATTCTGGAGACTGTATTTAGAGCAATATAGACATGATTTTATGAAAATTAAGAATTAACTAAAAAGAAGTCCGTGAATGTATAGATGCCATAGTGACATAATCATTGCAAATGAAGTTTAGCAAGTGGAATTGTATTTCTCTTAGTGATGCATGCTTTGTAGTTGTCCTTTTGTCCCATGTTGGGTAAGTCTTTTGTTTGAAACCTCTAAATTTCTTGGATGAAAACATATATATGTAGTACACCTGTAATCCAGGACTTTGGGAAGCTCAGGTAGGAGGATTGCAAGTTGAAGTCCTGCCTAAGCAACTTAGATCCTGTCTCAAAAAATAAAATTGAGTGACTGGGGATTCCTAGGGATGTAGCTCAGGGATATAGGGATACATGCATTTTATGCTACATAAGATGCTGGTCATAGTGAAGTAATATTTTAAGGACAGGTTAAAATTTTTCTCAAAATGCTTTTATATTTACTAAAATGATGTAAAGATGTTATTTCAGATCTTTTATTGGCCTTGGAGTTTTCTGAGGAATTAGAGGTAGATGACACATGTTGAGAAAAAAGTTTTAAAATTTTCTAAAGCTAAGTGAGAAGGACAGCAGATTTTCGTTTAGGATGCATGTCTCCAAAAGGGCAGAGAGAGGGTAAGCTAATTTGATAGTTCTTAATATGAAGAGAAAGATAGTATAATACCAGGAAAAGAAAATGAATTCATATTTGGGAAAGTATAGTGTTTATGAAAAAACCCCTATCCCTTCTGGTCTCCATTCAGAATCTTGGATGGCCATGCTTGCTGAGTTCTCTTCTCCAAAGCCAAGAGATTGGGATCCTGAAAGAAATGTACATAAAGTTTAAGGATCTCTGTACGATTATAAGGATCACTTCTCATTCCTCTAGTGGATCTGATTTACTATTGAGTTTTTGAACTTCCTAGGTGGTACAGGAGCCTGGAAAGAAAACTGAAAAGATGATGTGGTAGTGTGGCTAAGGATAGAAAGAGTCAGGATTGTCCGCCTCCCAAAGTTCTCAATTGTGAAGAGGTATGGAATATAAATCTTGTTATGACTGTAAGATTTAAAGTTGGATCTGGAGAGAGGAAAGTTATTGAGATACAGGCTTACCAGAGATTGTTACAGAGTAAGACAAAAAGACCTATGTTTACAGGAATGCCATGTGATGGTCTTACTAGAAGCCACATGCAAGATATGGTGCAACCTTATAAATGCCATGAAAACCTAAGAGAGATGCTTGGGTGTGAGCCCTTGTCAATGAGTTCCATAGAAATCAAGCTTTAACATTAGTGATGATTACTTACATAGGACAATAATCTTACCCTAGATATCCAGATTAAAAATCTCTTTATCCCCCTCTTCCTCTAAAATCATTCAACCAGACACAGGGAAGGAGGAGGAATGTCAGATAACAGACCACTCTCTCCCACACTGTGGACTGTGCTTATTGTCATATTTTCCTCTCATTATACTCACCTAGGTGAATGTTAAGCTTTGGAGAAGGTAGTCTGAACCTTGGCATGCTCTATGGGTATGAGTCTCTCAGTTTCTACCTAGAGTGGTTCTCTGTGTATCTGGTGTGGTTTTCTCTTTTTCTTTAAAAATAAGTGCCTATGATGAACTGAAACTGGATATTAGGAATACAATCACTCTGACTTTCCCATAAGCTATGGCATTACAACTTTGATGCCAAGACTTGTAGTGTGAGAATGGGCCTAAATAAATTTTAAGAAGATCATGATTGTAAGAGTTTGGATCATTTGGCCGATAATATATTTAACTCAAGAGACATAGTCTGAAATTATTTTAAAAAAATCCATGCAGTAATATGTCTGAATGTGAGAGCAAAAATATTCAATACCTCATTATCTATTGAAAAGCAGGTGGATATTATTTTTCTTTTAATTCCAGGCACTGCAGAATGTATCTCAAGATATCAGAGACTCATAGCTACTCTTTTCTGTTCTTTACAACTCTGCTGGAAAAGTTTCTTTCCCCCATACACATAATCTTCTAAACTGCTTGACCTGAGCTGATCTATGTATGAACCATGAGAACGCCATTCACCCTTCTAGTTTCAGACCTATGCTAACACCATTTCTGCTTTCCCTTGAACTTTGAGGTGAGGTCAGAGGAATATCATAAAATCATGCAAAGGCGAGGGGTACAGCTCCATGGGAGAGTGCTTGCTTAGTTTGCATGAGCCCCTAGGTTTGATGTCCAGCACTACAAAAAGAGATAGAAAATTTACATGGTTAAGTATTGATGGGATCACTTTCCCTTGCCTTACTTTGGTTATTCCCATTTAGGTTCCATTGCTAATACACAAAGTTATAAAGGAAGCCAAATTATTCATACAAATTTAAATGACAGAACACAAACTGGAGAAAAATATTTAAACTACAGGTGCTGTGGGTTGAATTATGTCCCTAGAAAGATGTGTTGAAAACCTAACTCCCATGACCTGTGAATGTTACTTATTCTTGGAAATAAGGTCTTTTCAGATATAAACAGATTTAGATGATGTCACTAGGCAGAACTTTAATCCAACAAGACTGATGTCACTATAAGCAAAAGAAAACATAATGTAAAGGCAGAGGCAAAAATTGGAATCATACAGCTTTAAGCCAAAGAATGCCAAGGGCCAACAGCCACCACTAGATGCTAGGAAGAGGTAAAGAAAGATTTTACTTACAGTCTCAGAGGACGCACAGCTCTATGGATTTTAGAAATCTAGTGTCCAGAGCTATAAGAATAAATTTCTGTTGTTTTAAGCCACCCAGTAGGTGGTATTTTACTAAACAAGCCCTGCAAAACAAACAATACATGAATGAAAGAGAAAGATAGCATCCGTATATTTAAAAAACTCTTACAAGTTAATAACATGGGTGTATAAATAGAAAAATGGGAAAAGGACAAAAAGTAGTTACAAAAGAAGCAAATATGGCTAATAAAATATAATTTTTATTACTTTAATAAACAATAGTTGGGCATCTAGCATGTGCCAAGTACACTAAGTCCCTGATTTATGAACATTCGAGTTGTGAACTTTCACAGGTATACCGTGTAAGACTCACATTGTTGGCTTATGAAAGTATCTGACTTAC